TGAGAATATGGAGTTCGTTTTCTGCTCCACCCCATGAAGCAGTGGCTAAGTGCATCAGGCTTAATTTTAAAAAAAAATGTTTTCATCTCTTTAGCACTCTAAGGTGGGATGCTCATGGGCAAAGAGGCAAGAAAACTAAAGTAATTTTTAGAACCTAGGCCAGAATCCAGTTCTTCAGATGATAATGCTTCTTGTGTAAGTATTTTTTGTGGAGTATTTTGAGCCCTTTTGATATGTAAAGATTTATCACACAGCATGCATGCATATACACATGTACAAACAAACACTAGCTGTAATAGCTTTGAAATGTTTTTATATTAGTTGTAGGTCCTGATTCCCTAGGGCAGTGATGGCGAACCTATGACACGTGTGTCAGAGGTGATATGCGAACTCATTTTTTTGGTTGATTTTTCTTTGTTAAATGGCATTTAAATATATAAAATAAATATCAAAAATATACATCTTTGTTTTACTATGGTTGCAAATATCAAAAAATTTCTATATGTGACACGGCACCAGAGTTAAGTTAGGGTTTTTCAAAATGCTGACATGCCGAGCTCAAAAGGTTCACCATCACTGCCCTATAGTATAAGGAAAGAATTTCCAGTGGCTACATTTTAATAGTGAATTGCAATAGTGAATAAACAACTCTTAGAATCCGTGTGTGTGTGTGTGTGTGTGTGTGTGTGTGTGTGTGTGTGTGAAAATTCCTAGTATTAACATTTGCAGTGGTTTGTTCTTGAAGTCCTAAGTGTGGGGTCCTAGTGACTGGGGTTTTTATAGTCGTGTGTCTGTGTGGTCATAGGAGAAATGGCCAGAGTTGGGTGTCAGAGCAGCTCTGGGCAGATCCCTGAGCACCATTCTGCCTTGAGCCAGGCACTCCTTCTCTTCAGTGCCCCGGGGTGGCTCCATTCAGGGATCGGATGTGTGTCACCAGGCAAGTCATATTCTCTGTGGCTTCTGGATTCAGAATTGGGGTATGATCTTTTCCAATTGTTTTTTAGACCTTGAGTCTCAATTTTGAGTTTCTCATAGCCTAGTAGTAGGATTGTCAATGACTTTCTGAGAATATATGTACACTTTTCCTGGATTATAACATTTTTGTAAAAACTTGGTCCGGTGCCCTGGCCATTGTGGCTCAGTTGGTTGAGTGTCTTCCCATGCACCAAAAAGTCACTGATTCGATTCTTGGTGAGGGCACATCCCTGGGTTGCAGGCTCAATTCTCGGTAGGGGGTCTGCAGGAAGCAACTGATCGATGTTTCTCTACCTTTCTCTCTCCCTCCCTCTCTCCTTTTCCTTCTCCCTCTCTCTCAAATCAATAAAAACATATTAAATAAAAAAAGAAAAACTTGGTCCTTAATGTTTAGATTTATCTTTTTCTCTCCTTAAAAATCAAGTCAAGGCCAAATTTGTTGGAGTTGCTATGGTAACTTTCGAGAATTTGAGAGTGGATACTAATTCAAAGACAAAGATGCTTGAATTGCATTTCAATATAGAGGCAGAATTAGCTTTGGTATAAAAACATTCAGCTGAATCTCCATGGAAAATTAACAAGGACAAAAAATACAAAAGGTTTATAGCTTGAACAGCTTATCATGGGAATTTTTAGCTAACTTTTAAGTAAAATAAATCTCATTTGGTTACAAGTTCATTCTATGCAGAAACAGTATCAGTTAGATTCTGCTCAAGTCTACAAAACATGGATTTAAAATTCTGCCCAATTTACCTTCTCCCTCCAATATGATTTTACCCATAGATTAGCTTACAATGTGAGTTGTATTTTAGAATTACATTAATATACTGCTTTATGTTAAAATAAACTCACATTTTCCCCTGAAACATAAATTTCATCAATTTCATGCTCTGTGGCACAGTTATCAGCACCTCAGATGCTTCTTTCTGTTTGTCTTTGACTAAGTATTACTGAATACCTATCAATTAATTTCATGGAAGTTTCTTAAATGAATATTTTGCCAATTATCTGAAATCTTATTGATCTTGGCAGCACAGAGGAATGTTTCAATTCAGTGATTAAAAAGAAAAACACAGTTGGGGATGGGAATGGCCAGGGAGAGGTCAGTAGGGGGAAAAAAGGAGACATAGGTAATACTTTAGACAATAAAGAATTTAAACACACACACAAATACACAATAATATTGAATATAAACTATAATTTAAAAATTGCCCTAACCAGTTTGGCTCAGTGGATAGAGCATCAGCCTGCGGACCAAAGGGTCCCAGGTTCGATTCCGGTCAAGGGCATGTACCTTGGTTGCAGGCACATCCCCAGTAGGGAGTGTGCAGGAGGCAGCTGATTGATGTTTCTCTCTCATCAGTGTTTCTAACTCTCTATCCCTCTCCCTTCCTCTCTGTAAAAAATCAATAAAATATATTTTAAAAAATTTTTAAATTAAAAATACTATTTAAATTAAGGGTCTTGAGAGAGGAGATTTTCCTGGCTTATCTGAGTGGTCCTCCCTGCAGTCACAGGTATCCTGGTAAAAGGAGAAGGCAGCTATGCCCAGAGGAAGGGACTCGAGTGATGTCACAATAATCTTAGTTAATCTTAGGTCTCTGCTTCTCAGAAATTAAATTTCCTGACTTTCAGTTCTCAGAAAGCTCAGGGTTCATTCTGTATGAGGGTTGGGAATGGGAACACCTGGGTTGGGGTTGGGGACACATTTGCCAGACACTGTGTATGTTCTCCACTCTGTCCTGGTGAGGAGGCTATGTGGAGTGGCCCCTTAGAGAACTGAAAACCCAAAGCTGAACGGAAGCAATGATTTAGAAAACACATCCGAACACTCAAACACATGGAATGTGCCCAGTGATTTCACAATTCAAAATGATGGAACCATATTGGGAAGCCCTACATGGGGGAAGGCTGTAGCAGGCCCAAGAGGAAAGGAGCTCAGAGCTCTGTGGAGGTGCAAGCACGGAGGAGCCTGGTCTCACATCTGAGGGTCACCTTTTTCTAGGCACCTGACCTTGAATGCTTACCAAACCTCTGGTTTCCTAACAGAAGGGTGGATAATGCCTACAATATAGGACTGCTGTAAGGACTAGAAGTAGCAATGGATATAAAATCTGCTGTAGCAGTTTGCACACGGTTTCTTTAGGGACTTGGTGTCCAATGTTTGTCAGTTCCTAATCCCCCTTTAAATTCTTATAAGTATGAGTTGAAAGGAAGGAGAAATTCCTGTGAGTGGCAATTACCTCACTCTTCAACATCAAACTATCCACGGCATTTGTGTCTTATATCTATTAATCCCAGCTAAGTTCAAACCTTTATTCTTTTAGAGACTATTCTCTTTTTAAGAATTATCAGTTGATACCATCGGGGGGAAACAATATACTGTATAGTGAATTCCCATCTTTTAAGACTGGCGTGGGTAGTAGGGTAGGACCTAACTCAATAATTGCCCTATAAAGGCTTCTCTGGTTCTGGATGGCAAATAAAATTATTCTGGCCTGCAAACATCCCCATTTAGGAAAAGGGAAGAGAAACTGAGATTCAGTAATTCATGTTTCTGGCCTCTATCCTGTTTGTGTAAAAAACATTTTGGGGAGCAGTTTAAAGTTTTGCTTCAATAAGGGTGGCGTGAAGGTACAAGGTGCATGTTGCCTCAGAGGAAGAGGCAGTCGGTCTGCTCTTTTCCTATCACGCCAGGTGAATCCATCAGCCTGTGTTAGGAGGATTAGCCATCTGTTAGTTTCAAAGCAAGAGGCAAAAGTCTCTGCTTCCAGATTCTCTTGGTGTGTGGGTTTGGGCAGGACGGACAGGAGTTAATAAACATCACATACCTTGACAGGCAAGCTCCCAGCTACCTTTCATGTTCATTCGTCACATCCAGTCCCACAGCAGTCCTGTGACATAGGTGTGATTGCTGCCATCAGTTGGGAAGCCAATGAGAACAGGCTCAGTAATCGTTCAAGGTCACATGACG